CTGACAGCGGTGGCACTGCCCGGGAGTGCCTTTTCTATATGGGGCCTCGACGGTGACCCCGGATAAGCCGCAAACGGTGCGGAGGCTTGAGGCAATCCGTTTGCCTTCGGCGGTTGGTTCTAACGCGACGAGAACCATATTATATGCGAATTTATCGCGCCCGCTGTGCATTCGGTGCACGCTTACAATCGGGTACGCCTGCCCGATGAGGTCCTCCTTGACCAGCTCGACGTCGAGCTCCTTCGGTACTCCGCGTATTACTACGCGGAGCTCGCGATCCTCCTGGAGCGCATAAGTGTGGAAGCTTATGCGTTCCTTTCGGAGGTGGGCTGTCAGCGCCCTGTGGTCGTCCGGTGAGGCCGTTTTTATTTGAATGCCGTGCGCGATGTTACGCGCATGGATGACGTTTACGTTTTGTGCCTTACAGGCACGGGATACGCGATCCCACGCGGTCTTATCTTGCAAAATTACCGGCGGCGGCGCGGGAATTTTGCGGACGGACGCGTATAGGGACAGAGAAAGCGACTTTGTTTTATACTATGTAGTGATTGCTCAGAGGGGTGAATGACCTCATAGTCCCCCGGTGTTAAGTGGTCTTTTTTTTACTTTTTTTATTGCATAGATGGGTGGACGAGCTCACAGTCCACCTGGTGTTAAGTGTTTAACGGTGCCTATAGACATCTAAGACGTAAATGCCGCCACCTACCTTGCGATAAGGTCTCAGTTCCATAGTACAAGGGCTGCCCCATCTTTGAAACCAGAACGCACTTCTGCTTCGCGGCAGAAATAGGCGTGGCGGTGGGACGCCCAATCCGTTCTTCTCGGTGTGCAGAGGCTTGGCTCTACCCCTAGCATTGCTGAGGTCCATGGGCGACCGCAACCATTCACCATTAGGTGGGCTGTATGCTCGTCTGCGTACAAGGACAATAAAAAACAACAAAAATGCCTTAAAATAAACTTGTGCTTCGTAATTAACTAAAAAAAATGTACTATTTATTCATTGGCCCCTTAATCCATAGATATCGCAATCACATACCAGACATAGACACACAGCCAATATAGACAGATGACAAATCCCAAATATCTTTCACAAACATACTAACCGAGAATCATATCCAATAAAAAATACGAGGTGTGTATAAATTAAAAAAGTCGATATTGTACTTGTACATACATTTTCTACGTCTAATTGCTCAAATCCTCTGACACTAGTTTACTTTCATTTCTTTTTGACCGTTTCGGTTCTCTGTTGTAGAATCAATTCAGCAACTGAATTAGGTGTCGATGGTATATGGTGTTATGTTCTCCATGTCCATAATGATGACGAGCATTTATACCACTCCAGATTGAGAGCACTTTAAAGTTTACATCACTGTTAAACAAGTTTAATCCTTGGCGGGAGACAATAAGACGTACGTTTCTTTAGCTAGTTCGAGAAACGCAGAGTACCTACGTAAGAAGTATAAAAACGTTTTTAGTACTCATACTCATTTCAAAAATAACTCACGCAGCGTTAATCTTTGACATCATTAATAGGGATGCAACAGAAGGTAATATTAAAAATAAACCTTTGCCTTTTAAAGCAGTTGTTAAATGGAGCTAACATGTTAGTGGAGGGTTTGCGGGAGAGTGCCTAAGCAGTAGGAAGATCTCGCTGTCATTCTTGTATCTTAATAGCGGTGACGTCAAACTTCAATGGATTTTTTAAAGGAATTTACATCGGAATGGTCCTTCATTTTTTTTAGATTTCGATTTTGAATTTAATAATAAAAAATAAGTCAACATCCCTAATGTAATACAGACAAACATTCATACACTGCATCAGTACTAATTAAGCTATTGAAGGGCATCCGGCGCACGCACCAATCAACCGGTCGTTGGTACTACGAAGCTACTACTAGCTCGTGTACAATCACAGACAGATTTGGTTTATTGTATAATTTTTTTTTATTAATTTTATTATCTTATTATTTTAACAATTAATTCATATTTATAACTAGCCGTACTCGCCCACTTCGCTGCGCATTTAAAATTAACATTATTATTTATTGTCATTATTATTAGGGAGTCCAACACTCATATAAATATTAGCCTATCCATTAAGTACATGTATTTTCTACATGGATACCAAGTTTCAAGTCAATCGGATGCATGGTTCAGTAATTATAACGGAACATCCGTAAAAACCACTGTAGATTTATATATTAGTATATTTTTATAAAAGTTTCAATTGCTGAATTATGGATAGTTGATGTATTAGGATTTGAAAACAACATGTATACAGTTAATAGGTCTGAATCCGAAATACGGGTACACAGCGAATCAGTAGAATTCATCTTGTTTTCTTATTCAATCTATTCCTTTTCTTGACAACCCATTTTGGCTAGGCCTGTTGGAGAGTACTGGTGTATGTAATGCTCTGACAATTGCTTTTGAGTGGGCCCCTGGAAAAAGAATATGTACATTTTGACTCAACGAACATTGGAGGTATTGTGTAGCAAAAAACCTTAGGCGAATAGAAAATTAATATCCTGGTAGACGAAGTAAGACATGAATCGAAAGTTATACCCCATTAAGGGTTGAAGAAGTGCACGAAACTATGAATGGTTGATATTTCTGGTTGTTTCACAGTAACAATAGTCTCACTTAGATAGTTTAAAATTAACCGGCTTTAAATTGCAATTCATCAGTTCTATCGATAGAATATTGTGGTTGCGTAAATATGCCTATGAAAAATTTAATTGGCAATTAATTATGTCGAATTTGGCTCATGTAATTTCTTGTTGACTGCCCTTTATTTTTATAAGTAAAATAATGTATTGAGTATGTTTCTGTCATAAATAGTTTTAACATATTATTTTTCAACACAGTGGTTTATTGTTTGTTTGAGTTTTGTTTTTTTCTCTTCAAAATGAAAATTGTTAGTTGAGTGTTCAATTTTTGATTACCATT